AAACTAGTCTTAAGGGTAGGCTGCATGCTGAACAGCAAATGGCCAACAGAAAATTAAGTCAATGGCATCTTTGGAGGTCCTTGTCTCATAATGTCATATTTAAAAGACTTTTCCTTTAAAATTTTATCTTTATTTTTATTTTAGCATATGTAATAAAATTATATAAATGATATAATAAAGGCCAGCTATATGTTATATAAAAAACATACATGTAACATATATTACAAAACATATATAATAAGACACACATAAAAAATATATACATACACACAGGTCCTCTCTGTATATTATGGTTTCCAGGTTAGTGTTTTTATGGGATTCTAGAGTATGTGAACTAGTGGGTCTCTATTTCTTTTGCCTTCTCTTGGGCTCTTTTTCTTCTATTTGTTCTGTCCAATTGTGATGTCTTAGTTTTGTATTATATTATATCATATTATATTATATTACATTATACTATTATCCCTCAGAAGCTAGCTTATTTTCTAATGAGAAACAGAAAGTGTGGATTTGGATGGGAGGGGACCCCAGGAAGGGACTAGGATGAGTAGAGGGAGGGAAAACCATAATTCATACATATTATGTAAGGGGGGAAAAGTGAAAAAAAAATTCATTAGGGAGAAAGACAGATATACCAAATAAATCACAGTTTTCTAGAACCATCTTGTCTGACCGATAACCCCTCGATTCAAGGTTTTAATAGAAATATATACCTTTGTGGATGAAAAACAATCAAATAATTCAGTGTGTTAGCTCTTGGCATGCATAAAAAATAGATAAAATTTCCTAACCTATAGTAAAGAAAGAAAATAGACAATACATAGAAATATAAAACCTATGGTGTTGTGTATCTTAGGTGATATGAGAAAAGAAAAAGAAAAACTATGATAAAGTTCATTGTCTATAGGGTAAGCGGTAGGAAACTGAGCAGAGTTCATTCAGTGCAGGTCTCCTTTAGAAACTACTAGTTAGTCTAAGATGAAAGGAGTGCAAAGAAGATTTCTGAGTACTGAAAAACAAAGAACTCTACATCAGACTGAATTTAACAGTCTGTTCATTTTAATTGTTTCCCTGGTCGAATGGCTAAAATCTAGTTCAAAATGTAGTCTATACTAAATAAAGTCAAGGTTGCAAAAGAAAAATTAAAAGACTGTTCTGGATAGACAGGACACAACTTCAATAGCACAGATTCAGAGAGTCTGGAAAGAGCTAGACCTCAGTGACCAAGGAAGATAAATAAGAGAGGAACATAAGGTAGGATAATTCTAGACTCTGAGTAGACATAGACTTCCATTTTGAACGCGTATGGGATTACAGAGAATCTTCTCTTAACACAGTGGCAAGTTAAGAAGCCATGGCAATAACAACATGGATTAATTACTGTGATGGCATTAAGAAAATCTGCTTCAAGCAAAGGATTGGTGTACAAAGGAACCAGAGTGCCTCAATGCAAGTAAAATGAGGGATTTTAATAACAAGGGTCGCAGGAGTTTTGTGGGCATACCTATTTGTGATGTGACTTTAAAACTTTTGAATTCCCATCTGTGTCTGCCTCCCCTAAAGGAAAGAATCTCCTAGATTATCACTCCTTGGTATTTATGTAGAAATCAAAGCAGCCAAAATCCTGGATCATGGTAGAAATCCTATGATATAAGTGTTGTACTTTGAAGAGTCTCTGATCTTTTTTTTTTTTTTGAAAATCCCATTAAAAATTTCTGGGCAATGCAACCTGTTAAGATATTAAGTGTTGCTCATATATGTAGCATACCTCTTTAGGGCTGATCACTTAGGAGTGGATAATCTATCAGAGGACATATCCTTGGAGAAGGCTGTTTTGGGATAGATGGATGGACAGACAGATACATGCATGCATACATACATACATACATACATACATACATACATACATACTAGATAGATCCATAGATTGATACATAGTGTCTGTAATACTAATAATGAAAGAAAAGTTCATGAATTCTGGAGGAAGTTGGACAGACACAGAATGGGTACAAGTGAGGTAAGCATAGTACTCACGTATGGAATTATTTAAAATCCATAAAAGATTTAAGAAAAATATTTACATAAAAACTGAAAAAAAGTCTATATCAAAAATACAAGTTCAGTAGAGTTCCAAAAGCAATATTTTGTATATTAGCATGGATAATATTCTTCACAATGCATTCTTTACTTTATCTTGCTTACCATTTCTAGTCTATCTTGGTTAATCCTGTTTCATAAGGCCTTCTATTTGAAGTTTGAACAAAACACTTCTTCAATTTTCTCTGTACCATTAAGAGAACTTTATCAGTCGTTCTGGGACTGGCTGTATACATTTCTCAAATTCTTCCTAGGCAATAAGTGCATCTAGGTGTGTGCCCTTTAGCAAATACCTACATGGCTTTTATTTCAGTATGTCATTTTTGCAACCAAGGTTAGAACTAGATGATGACAATAACTTTTACAGTTCTAACTAATCCTTTGGATACTTACAAAATGTTCAGATGTCTTGGAGAAAACCTCAATTCTTAAACCAGCCTGTAATATTTACCAATCTGACATTTTTTAAAATATAAAGGATTACTTCACAATTCACAGAAGCAGAGACAAGAGAAATATATTTCACAGAGAAACCTATTCCTCCTGTTGGGTACAGAAAACTTTCCATGAGGATCTAATAAAGAAAATTGTGTTCCTTCTTTCCACTTACATTATTATTTCTAAGATAGTGCCTCTTATGAGTAATGTCAAACGGAAATTATTTTATGTCTACCCAGCAGCCTTTTGGATGTAGAGAATAAGACCACAACAAATAGATTATAAAGGCAGGATGCAATGGTAGTGATTTCTGATTAGGAACAGAACTGATCTATAATAACTTTCTTATCTGCTTTCCTATCCATTTCTTGTCCATCCCACCTGAGTAAAGAAGGAAAAACTCTATGTGTTGGCAGAGTTTGTCATTAGCCAGACTATGCTGTGTTGTTTTCTTTGGTTCTTTGAGCTCTTTCTGCAAAAGAAAAGACAAATAGCATATCCAGGCTAATGTTCACAATTACTACTCTATATTAATGTGTTGAGCAAATAGGTAATTATTATTTTTCTCCTTCTATACCAGTTTCTGTGAGAACAATAATTGTTGCCTATGAGTCTCTTAATTTTTCCATATTTTCTTCATGTTTTACCACAACTACCTTATATATAGGAAATGTCTATCCAAATGTAGCCCCAGGTAAATAAAGCATTTCTTACATGGCTAATATATTTCCCATAAGCTAATGTATAGAGGGTAACAAATAGAGCAAGAGCTCTAGCCTTGCTCCTGTCTTCCATGTTGCCTGTTTCTAAGCAAATCACATAAACTCTTTGGATTCTTCTCTCTGAAACAGACAATAATGATGTTCACAGTGTATTCCTTACAAGGCCATCATGCAGGAATTGGAGAGCAGATAGAGGGAACATCCACTTTTGTTCCAGGCAACCAGAATCCCTGTGACACAAGTGTTAGGAGCAGACCTGAATGGAATTACTCAATTTGAATGTGTTTTAGAAATTGTAAAATGCTATGAATAGCTCAACTTATTAGCAATTTATCCTTGTAATGGTAATAATTACACATTGAACCTCCTATCTCTTCCTAGATGTAAGAACATCTAAATTTGACTCTAAATATGAATGTTTCCTGGTATCTCATGTGTTCCAACCAAACTGGGAGCAATATTGGACAACAGTGTCCTGACAATTACCAACTGCTTATATTTTATTAGCTCACACTATTACAGTAGCACTATGGTTAGGAAAAATAATGAATGGAGACTCTATATATTGGATTCCTTACATACCTCTCTCTTTTGCCTTGATATAAAACAAGACAGATTCCTTTGTTTGATCTGTTGATATTCTATTAATCAGGAATTATGGTCCCAAGGAAAATTTAGGTCCTATAAAGCCATGAGCAAAAATGCCTGTGTAAAGGAGGAAGCTATTGAAAGACTGAACAAATTCTAATTGTTGACCAGCTTCTCAGTTTATTAAAATACCATGAGCAAGACAGAAGCTGTCTGGAATATACTCAGGAGTTATAAAGACTAAAGAGTAATAACCTGTTGATGCCAGCTCCCAAGCAAGTCTAAACATTTACTATTATTTATGTACACATATACTCACTCATACACCCACACATAAGAATGAAGTTGGGGCCAATGACATATCAACCTCAAAAAATGGGCAAAAATTCATACAGAAACATTAAAATGGATTATTTTGACAGACTAATGCAAAGAAATGAATATATAAATATGACAAATAATACTCTATCATTATTTTCATTGAATAATTTATGCATGATATTTTCTATTTATGATTCTTTTCAAAGTTCTTCAGATTTGACCTTTGAGGTCTCTGATTTCCTCCATTGCTTTCATATTTTTTGGAGTGGTATGAATGTGTAATGTGTACATTTGTATGTTCTGCTATAGCAATGGCTTATTTTTTCTCTTTCTGTTAGTTATCATAGCAAATATATTCTTTCTATACCTCTCCCTCATTATGTACTCTTTAAATTGGTTAACTCATATAATAGCCTGCTGAGAATTCTTTCTGAAATAATGAAGCTGTGATCAGAAGTAAATGCGTCAGATATGATCTGCTGTTTCTATGCTTATTGAAGGGTAGCTAAGAAAGTACCATTAGGCATATATATATATATATATATATATATATATATATATATATATATATATATAGAGAGAGAGAGAGAGAGAGAGAGAAAGTTAGTATTCACCTCAGCCTGAACCAAAAATAAGCAATATTGGCTGCTGCTTTGAGAAACTCTCTAGTTCACATAATTCAACCTTTGTTAGCACACAGGCTTTATTCTCAGTGAAAATAAACAAAACACCATGATATTCTTAGAAATACTCCACTGCTGTTGAGTGCAAATAGAATTTCATGTTTAATAAAATTTATCTTGGCTGTCTTTCATTTTCTGTTCTCCTTCCTTTTAGGTTAACAATACATGCTGAATGTCCGATGCATTTAGAAGATTTCCCCATGGATGTGCATGCCTGCCCACTGAAGTTTGGAAGCTGTATGTATTTTCAGTGTTTTGTTTGTCTGATCTGTTTACAGAGGAGATACAATATAATCCTAAGAAGTTATTAATACTAATTTTAATCCTTGCTGGTATGGAGTGGGTCAGGAAAATGGGGTCAAGTAGTACTAACAGATCAAGAGTGGCAGACTTGGCTTTTAACACTCACCCTGGAACAATTCTAATTCCATTATTTCAGCGTAATTTCTATCATTAGACAGAAAAACTTCAACATTTGTCCTTTGCTAGAGGACAGAACAAGGACAAATAAAAAATGTTAGCTTCCTAAGGGCAAGAGAATATGTCATACATTTTTAAAATGTCCATTTTCTCTGCATCTCCACTTACTAATATTCAGTTCCTAGCAGTAAATGGTTAATATGAGTGACAGCTGTAGAGACTTGCTCATGTTTTAAAATACTGCCTTTCCCATTTGTTGTAACTCTTACAGAGGAGACAGTAGAAATAGAGTCCATTTACAAGTGAAACTACAGCTATCAAAATTGAATATACTTGAGAGCAGTTATGAGCATAAGAATATTTGAATAAGTTATTATCAGAGAAATATATTAAGATCTGCATTGATCACATCTGAATGATATTGAAATAGAAATTTCACTTGAAAGATCTCAATTATATGACATATTTTATCAATCATTAGTTTCTAAAATATTTACATACTCTCTCTTGTGTAACATCTTCTAGTCTATGAGCTTGGAATACATTCATTAATAAAACACAATCCACAGCCTGATGGAACTTCTATTATTGAGAAAAACGTGATAGTAAAATATAATAAAAATAGGGTAAAAGTCGATATAAAGTAAGGAAAAGCATGAAAAATCCAACTGAATACATGGTAATTATAGAGGTGTGTAGGATATGGTATGAAATTTCAAACACACACACATACATATGTGATATATACATACATACATATATATATATATATATATATATATATATATATATATATATATATATATATATAAAATTCAGGGTAACTAACATAACTGTTATTTCCAGTATGTATCATTTCTTAGTGCTAAGAACATAAACATCTTCCATTAGGCACTTTGAAGTGTATTGTTAATGCTTGCAAACTACAGTGTTTCTGCTACGTTATCAAACACTACATTATTCCTCCTAATTGTGATAGCTGTGATACCTATCTTCTCAATTTTACTTACCTGTAAATTTTTTGTAATAAGGTTATTCTGACCAATCTGTTTTTAGTTTGTTTGACAACCAACATCTTATCCTTATAGGCACAACTCATTCTTTTTATTCTTATTATGTATCAATTAAAAATTTTTAAAAAGTGACATAAGATGCAATGGGGCAAATTATGTAGACATATGAGGAAATAGTGTTCTAGGTAGTATAGTAGCATTTCAGGAAAAAGATTTTAAGAGGGGAAAGTGTTGCATTTGAGCAGGCTTAATAAACATCATACCAGTCATGTGGATGCCCAGTAGGCATAAGAATGAAATATCTAGGTAGAGATGAGAGTATTAAGTCAATTAGAGCCTCCAGAGTCTTCTAAAAAATTAAGGGGCCTTGAATTATATTCTGTGGGTAAAGAAGGAGTAAGTGGAATATTTTGAATTAACGATTGATATTGTCTTACTTATTTTGAAAGAAGAATGTTATTAGGGTTTTGAAACTTGTTAATAGAGAAAAATATAAAAAGTTCAATTAATTTTATATTGCATTATTTAAGGTGAGATATGCTGATGGAAGTTATTGAAATCTTTCATGTAGTAATAAGTCAATTAACCTGTGATAGTAGTAAAAGCGATGAAAAAGTGGTATGCTGGGAAAAGACATACAGCAAGATGCCCTGATGAATTAGTTGTGTAGTAGAAGGAAAACTTGAGTAACTAAGAAATAGTCAGCCTAATGATTTTGCTTTCAAATGAGACAAGCAGTGTTAGAAATCAGAGTGGAAGGTTTGAAAAAGGACCTGTCTTGAAATTACCTGTCAGAAATGCTCTCTATTAGGAGACAGTACCTCACTGACATGAGCAAGACTTGAGGTACAAGAGCAATTAAAAGGAATAGAGGTAACAAGACAGGGCCTAAAAGGGACAGAGACACTTCCCTTGAAAAACTAGAAAGGAACTTCATGAAGGAAAATGGCTTAAAAATAAAGAGTTCAAAGGATAGCTTAAAGTGAAAAGTAAGAAAGCCAGGCGCCATAGACAGGATGAGGGGGATGTGAAGGACACTTAGGAAAAGAGAACAGCCTAACCATGATTCAAAACCCGCTTTTGGAAAGTGTCAAAGTTGTTTCCTGAGAAAGGAGCAGCAAAGGTATGAAAGAACATTCATTTATCTCTTACTTCTTCTGTAGGACTAGAAACCACAGCAGGAGCGGGATATTGCTCCAGGTTAAGCATCTTATCTGTTAAGGTGGCAAACATCTTAATGAGTCAGGCTCATTATCTAATGAGTAGTACTTCATTTATCAACAGTATTTACTTGTTTATTGGTGCTCGCTATTCTCAAGATTAAACCTTAGCAATCAAAAAAACCAACAACAACAAAACCAATCAAATATAGAAAAAACATAGAAATGATAAGAATTGTAGCATACGTACGAAAAAAGGAGAGATCCTCTTATAAATCAACTTGTGCCATGGTTCTTCAATCCTGGAATGTGTGCTAATTCTCACCATGATTCACAGATTGGTCTTAATTCATCCCATGGACATAGAATGAAGCCAAAACCTAATATGAAGAACTTCAAAAATAAACATTGCCTTTTCTGTAGTTTTCTGTAGTGCTAAAAGAGAAAAAAAAGGAAGGAAGGGAGCAAAAGAAGGAAGTGTGGAGAAAGAGCATTCATCAAACAATCAGTTTTAAAATTTAGAGATCTAATAGTAAGGAAAGAGTAGAGTCACATTAAATCTATCTTAATCCTTTATGGAAAAAAAGTGATAAGTCTTGCACATCGTCTGTACAGCCAGCGAAGAATGTAGACTCTGTGTTAGCAATGTGGCTTACACCAGGAAACTCTTTATGAACCATGTTTGAACTTAAATAAAAAGAAATCATTAGATATGAATGAGTAGTGACATATTTTCTTAAAACAAGATCTAAAAGGTAAATAACACCATACATAGAGGCATGTTATCAGAGTTTATGGACAAGGACTTTCAAATGTTAGTAATATGTGGTAGCACACACTCATAATCTTAGTATGGAACAACTGATTGCTTGTGAGACAGCTAAATCTCCAGACCTCTGTAGCCAGCCAATATAGGCCAATTAATTGGTGAGCCTATACTGAGTTCCAGTAAGAAACCCTAACTAAAAATGAGTAATGTGCCTCATGACTGAGGAAGGCACCTAGTGTTAACTCTGACCTCTATATGCACTCATATGTACATATACATAAAACCACATACATATACATATAACACACATATGGTTACTGTGTTGAAGAACAGATAAAAGATAGATGATTTGTACAGAAACTGGGCATCTACAAATAAAAATAAACTGGAAATCATTGACAGAAAAGTACATCTAAAATTCATAGTTCATGGATAGATAAAACAAGAGACAGGATTGAGTACCTAATGAATAAGTATCAGAAAATTGAAAAATAGGAAAACAAAAAGAAAATACACAGAAAGGTGTAAAATCATGTTTGACATGGTAGAAGAAATTATGATATGTAATTTAAATTTTGTATTATAAGAATTTTATAGATGTATATTTTACAGAAAGAAAAGGAACTTTTAAAACTGATGAAAATTATTAATCTGAAGTCTCAAGATACACATAGACACTAAGTATGATAAATATAAAAAAACAATGCTGTTTTTAAAGTTTGTATGGTAATATTAAGATGTTAAGAATACTTAAGATTCTTCAATAAGAATAATCTTGAATAAAAATAAATCCACACAATCCACAATGAAATCAAATCCACTTGAAGCTGTAGTAATTTAGACAAGATTTTATTGTTATGAAGATAAATAGCACAGAATTAATGAGACATGGAGAGAGAATTTAGGTTCTTATATTATATCAAGTATATGCAAAAATAAAATCCAGATATATTGGAACTTTAAGTATAGGGAAAGAGGCTATCAACTTGAGGAGGGACATAGGAAGGGTTTGAGGGAGGTTATTTGGGAGGAGCTGGAGGAGGAAAGCAATGTAATTCTATTTTCAGTTTTAAACATATCAAAAAAAAAAAAACCCAGAACTTTCAGATATAAATGTAAGAGAATATCTTCATGATTTGGAGGAGTTAGCCTTACAAAGATGTAACAAGCACTAACCTTAAAACTGAGAATATACCTGGGATATCTTAAATATTAAAGATTTCTACTTATCAAAAGATCATTAAGAGAATAAAAAGGCATGGTGGATAGGGCAGAGTGTGGTTCATGCTTATAACCTTAGCACTCAGGAATCTGACACAGAAGGACTGATGTGAGTTTGAGGCAAAATAGTGCTCCATAATGAGAATTCCAGGGTGCCTGGTTTATAAAGCAAGATTCTGTCTAAAAACAAGCAAACAAAGTCCTAAAGCTAATCAAGAAGATACTATGAAAGCTTTCATCAGATGGAAAGAGTACTTCAAAATATTCAAATATATAATGCTCCCTACAAATCTCTAGAAAACAATGAAAAACTTTAGTAGAAAAAGAAAGGGCCCTAGTGATAAATTGGTAACTTACAAGATACTGACTTTGTCTGTTTCTCTTTCACATATGGACTTACAGAGTGGTTGAAGACTACATTAGCAAAGAAACAAAAATTCAAATCCAAAATGTACCATTATGTATTCAGTAAAGTAACTATTATAAAAAACTAAGAAAATTCCGTATATGGATGAGATTTTAGAGCAACTGTTATCTCATGAACTATGATAAAAATATAGATTTGTAGAATATTAGGGGAAAATTGGTCACACAACATAGTACTGAGCATATACATATGAAAAAACTCTGCATTTCTTGTCATCAGTATATTTC